ACAGATTCGTATACGTGAAGCCATCTTTTGCCCCCAGTTCTGCCCACTTCTATGCCTCTATCACCACTCGTACAAACGTTAATCCTCATTACAGTTCTGGTTGATTCGGCGCCGACACGGTCTTTGTTGGTTTTTCTACCTGCGTTGACAGCGCAGCCACAAAACCTCATGTTGTTTCCATAAAGAAGTCGGTTAATAATGGTGCAATGAAATTTCACGCCGTGTAGACGACTCTGATTTAAATCTGACTTTAACGCTAACGGTGGAACATATAATATGAATACATCGAATGCTGACAAAGCACTGTTGCTGGTATGAACAGAATCCACACCGGGGCAGTTAGCCGGTTGGTTTTCATTATAAAATACGGGTGCGTTCAAGCGCGGCGATTTACTGTGATCCATTAACACACCGGACTGGAACCCACCAACAAGATTAGAACAAATCAAATCTCTGCAAATTTTCTCCGCGTTTCTTAGTCTCGACACCCTGAATGTATGTTTTGTTCAGATTCAGCCGATGCCACTAATGTGACTCAGTAATCTGGTACATTTGAACTAAAAATGCCTCCTATTCAATTACTTGCAGTTTTGAATAAACATATAGTCATTCATCATTAAGTTCTGGGTCGGTGAGGCTTATTAACTTTAATTACAGTCAATGCTACCCGGCCTGATCCTCTGTAATGTTCCTCCTTCATGCGGCGGCGCCTCTGTTCTCGCCGAGCGGCCGTGACACACCTGGGCTAATCAACTGTCGCCCTCCTCTCCTCGCCGCAATTACGAAGGCCGGGAGACGGCTACCGGTCCCCGCTCCAGCGTCCAGGTTCTCTCGTCGCCTCCCGCAGCTTGTTAAATTTACATTCTGCGCATTAAACTGACGCTTTTTTTTTTTTGCCCACAGAGGCTTACAGTAAGTGGAGACGGAGAGATAAGTCAACATCAGTGAACCGCTGTGATACTCCATTAGGTCATTTATATACACGGCGAGAGGAGGGAGGGCCACAATGTAGTGCTGTCTGGCATTTGTGAAGTGGAAATAGGTTCCTTTTTCTGGAGCTGTTGCAAGAGTAGGCTATTCAGACGTATATATATATAGTATATAAATACACCGGAGCTGCTGCTGCTGCTGTGTGTATACGGGGATGGATGTAAGGACATTATGCCGGGTGTGAGAAATGTCACACTTACAGCTTGTATTTACAACCGCGCATGTGTCCGCGTTTTAAACAGATCAACAGCCGCAGCGAGGAGCGTGCATCATGAAGAAATGCGACGTAGCAGGAGTCATTATGAGAACTTCCCACTGTGAGCCTCGGCGGGAGCGCGGCGTGTTATTGTAGCTGATTCTGCCGGCGGTAACATGAAGTGACTCATTCATTACCGAGCCGGTCTGAGGTGTGCTGATTATATTCTGCTCGTCCCGCTCCTCGCTCTTCCTCCTATCTAATTCTCCCTTTCATCTGCTCCTGACCTATGAGTTGATAGTCGGCGTCGGAGTCGAGGTGAATTGATTCCGCGATGCATTTTCATGTCAGGGCCTTGACTCGCTTTTTTTTTTTTTTAGCCAGAGGGGGAGAATTTCCTCCAGTTCTTCCCGCCAGGTGAAACAGGGCCGCCGGTCTCATTAGGTTTGCACACAAAAAAACAACTAATATCTGAGTCTCAAGTTCCTTTTTGCAGTTTTTATTTCAGGGGGGAGAAAAAAAAAAGAGGGGAAGAAAATAAAACACAGAAAAAGGAAAATCAATCAGCCCCCCATCAGATATCCACCTCCATTCCATCCCGTCCACTTTTTTTTGGAGTGTACAGTCCATTTCATTTCACAACGTCTGAGAAAATTACAGCTCCCTGGTGTCACGGAGAGAAAGGTTCACGTAAAGACGAGGAGGAAAAAAGACCGAAAGACAACAGTCAAAACGCGTGATCGGCTCGTCTGATTCATCACGAGACCACAGCAGCCAGAGCGTCGGCGCTCACGCTCAGAACGCAGCAGCTTCAGGAACAAACGCTATGACAAATCGCCACCTCCAAATTTGTTGTTTAACACCACGTTTTTGTTGAATGCATGTTTGCTAGATTAGCGGTAAAAGGCAAGGCTTACAGATAAGCCTGTTAAGTAAAGCAAAACGCTGGTGGTGCACCTGATCCGCTCCAACCAGTCGCACTTCAACGCAGTCGTCTGCTTCGCCGTTCCAGCATATGTTCCAGAAGATAAACGCTGCTGGGGTCTTCTCTGGGCTAATTAAATGTGTAGTTATCACCCCCATGGTCCATGTGTGATGATTTTTCAGTCCTGCATCGGGTTCATCCATTACCAAGTTCTTCAGTTTCATTGTGTTTGTCTGAATATGTTCACATTAATCCACATTAAAAAACAAAACCGTTTTCATCAGCAGTCCCTGTGCCTGATGTTGTTTGGCGTCTAAAATGAATAATTACAGCACAATAAGTACGATAATTAAATCAACCTGC